GGGGGGTGTGTTTTCCCAAAATTATCGGGTTGTTCTTTTTCCTGACTTTTTTCTGTGGAGGAAAAAGAAGAAGCGTGGCTCGGCCTTGAGCATCTCCTGCGAGGGCATGAGCTCCGACTCCAGGCACTGGAAGACCTCCGAACAGAAGACGTCGGGATCCGCCTGGACGAGCTCTCTCTCTCTCTCTGAATGGCGACGCCCGGACCCAGGCACGCCCAGGCCTTGCAGATCTTCTGCCAACCCTTCCGCCCAAAGGCCGCGCAGAGCACGGAGCAGCTGGCCGGAAGCGTCCGGTGCTGAGCAGAGCACGGGATTTAAAAGGCAGAAAGAGAACAAGAGAATTCCACACGTTGCGACTGTCCTGCAGGCGCACGAAGATCTCCCGCAAGGCCGGCAGCACCTCTGCCAAAAGAGGCGCGTCCGCGTTCGCGTTCGCGTCTTTAGCTTCCGCTTTCTTCGAGGGCCCGGCGCGGGACTTCTTGGCTCCCGAGAGCTGGCAGGGGTTCGAGGCGCTGTAGATGGCCTCCGCGGCGCTGCTGCGCTGCTGCGCTGATCCACCAGCGTTTTTGGGAGAGCTCCGTTCCCGCCGGGTCTCCGGGCCGAACGGAAGTAGCCCAGGTGGTACCAAATCTGCACGAGGCTGTTCAGGAACTGCGGCGCTCGCCTCAGACGACCCGTAAGAGACACGACGCGCGTCTCTGACGCGTCTCTCGGAGGGGCCGGCTCGTAGGAGCCGGGATCGATCTTGCCTCAGCGACGCGTCCGCGACGTGCCTTCTTGGCGGGGCCTTGGCAGCCGAGCTGCTGAGGCTCATGTACCGCGACTTGGTCTTCGAGTTCACCTTCATCGCTCCCCCAGCCAAGTACACGGATGCACCTCAGCGCTCTCTGCATCTCTCTGCTCTATATGCAAGCTGGCCTTCTGCCGTCATGGTGCGGAAGCACACGGTGTCGTCCTTGTCGACGAAGCCGCTGTTGCGCAGAGTCGCTTCATCGCAGTGGACAAAGTCGTGCCAGCCGCGGTCAATCGCCTCAGGGGGGGCTTTGGCTTGCGTTGAAGCACGCTTTGACATGGTCCGTGCCTGGCCTTCCCATCAGAGGATTCTACCGGCGAGAAGGTGTGCTTGTCATGCTTCACGATCGATTTCTTCAAGTCCTATACAGGAAGGCCGCGCATGGCGAAAAATGGCATGTCCACTTCAGCGCCCTCTTCGTATATAGTGCTATAAATATATCTGCGTGCGTGCATCGACGGAAGCTGGCCGGGACTGGACTGCGACACCCTTGGGCACGTGGACCCACAGTGTGGTCCGAAGCGGACGTGACGCCATCAGGTTTGCAAAGGTTTGGAGCCCAAAGGCTGGGGCGGCTGGGCCCCTCCGCTACCGCTCATATCATCATGGCGCAGACTTGCCAGCGAAAAAAGGCACCCTAGAGTTTCCCTGGAGAAGCTTGCCAAGCCCAGAAAAAGGAGCCCGGCTTCGGCTTGGGTCTCTATGCACCATCCTGGAAGTTGATGAGCGACACCAGAAATTGGACATCTTCGAAGTACCAGTGAGGAGGATAGTCTTCGCTGGGCCGTGCTTCCACGAACGCGGAAATCCAGCGCGTGTCTTTTTTGTCCTCCCGGACACAGCTGTTCAGTGGCTGAGAAGCTCAGAGTGCAGCGCGTGAAGAGCTGCGCTGCCTCCTTCCCATCGCCATCCTTGTTGCCGTCCTTCTCGTTTTCCTTATCCCTCTCCTTCTCTTTTGGGACCTCCTTCAGAAGGGCTGCTTTCAGCTTCTCCTTCTCCTGAGTTCGCACCAATCCACATGCAGGACGCAGAGCACAGGCTGGTTGCTGGCCAAGGTGCCGTCTTCTGAGTGTCCCTCCGTCGTGCCTTTGCTTTGTCTGTGTCCAGGTCCTCTTCCTTCCCTTTCCCTGCGCGCTCCGAGTCCGAAACGACGGGAAAAGCAGGGTACGTACGAGGGTAATTACGGTTCGAGGGCTCCCCGGGCGGCTCCCCGGGCCCCCGGGCCTGGCCGGTTCTTCCGCGCGTGCTCCGGGGCGCTCTTGGTGCCCTGGGGGAAGACCAGGAGCCTCGGACGTCGGAGCGGGGCGAAGCCGAAGCCCTTGCGCCCCTGCTTAGTTGCAATATGCGCCAAGCGGCCCGAAGACGAAGCCCCCGACACTCTTGGCTTTGGATCGGAACTTCTCCGGAGCCACGTCTCGAGACAGGTCCTCTACAAGAGGTTGCTGAGGCCTCAAAAAAAAAAAGACCCCCCGTATAACTCTCTAAAGCCTCGAGTGCCTGGAGAGACTGCGCATCTGTGTGTGTGTGGGGTCCTTGACGGAGACCCTCAGCTCCACCTGTGGCAGCAGAAGAGCAGCGCGCGGGCGGCGGCCGGGACGGAGAGGCGCACACGCTTGTAAGGTGGGGGGGGACCACGCAGACGCCTCTCCCGGGCTCGGGCCTCGTGCGGGTGCAGCTCCGGAAGGGATCGGAAGGGCGACACCGCCGTGCGCCGCTCCTGAGAGGACGAGAGCAGACCCTCCCTCGTCTCCCTCTCCTCCCCCTCTCCTCTCGTATCCTCTCTTCTCTTTTCCCTCGTCTCCCTCTTCTCTCTTCTCTCTTCGTCTTCTCTGTCTGTCTCTTTCGTTCCGTTCTCCATGTTGACAGGTCTACGCGTACCCGCTCTCCTTGGCACTGGCACACCGGTCGCTCTGCCGCGCCATGCCACGCCCGACTCGACCCTCCTGTCCAGGCCAAGCCGGGCCAGCAGAAAGTGTTACAAACACACGGACACACGCCCTTGCAACAAGTGCCTTGCCTTTGGGATCTCGTCCGAAAGACCCGTGCTCCGGGTGCTCGTGCTGTTGAGCACCTTCGTTCTAAAGCCCGTGTGCGCTGATGCCTGGTGTTCGCCTCCTACCCCGTTTCTGCCTCGGCGGAAACCGCCGACACCGAGGACCCGTCCTCATCTGAAGCGGGCCTCTGCGAATCCAGAAGGGGTTTAGGGTTCGGTTCCAGGCGTCCCCCCCCAGTCATCTTTTCCCACTCTCAGTCAACGCCTGGGGCAGACTTTTCCGGAAGAGCTTCCCGAACCGACCTCAGCGACAGATCTCAAGATCGGCCCTCATTGTACTGGCTTGTAAAGTCACACAACCTCCGAACTAGCAAAGCAATGCGCATCATGCACGGCCTTCAAGAGTCAATGTCATCACATGTTGTTCAAGACATGGGAGGCAAATTGTTGGATGGTCCCATGCTCCAGACTCAAATAGAGCTCGGACACAATGGATAAGATTGGTAAACACCGGTCACACGGAAGGTATGGTGCGCGACGGAAGCAATGGAGGCGGAGCACTGCAAGGAGAACGGATCGGAGCCGTGCTCTCCTCAGTTGTCCTACGGAGGTATCGGATGTGCCGCGGCCACTTGTTGGATCGGTGACCCGAAGACACAAGCGCCAGCGGCTGTGCAAAACAACCTCTATGCTTGCAGGGGCTTCTGCTAACCTTTCAGTCACAGACTATCGAAGCTGAGCGATGCAACGGTTACAGTTACGGCTACGACGTGGTCGGCAAACCCTTTTGCACGAACGGATCCAATAACCTGATCTGTCACACGAGGGTCAGCTTCAAGCGGCGGTGTGAAACAAGGTTGACAAGATGCCTAGCAGCATGACAAGCATACGAATGGAAACTGTGGCAGGAACAAACCACAGATCGCATAAGCCGTGAAGTTGATTGACAATGTACACACATGTATGTGCATCGGTGTGTATGTGTGTGCGTGTGCGTGCGCACGTGAATTTGTGTAAATCTCGACCCAGGAGCATTATTATTATCTAGTCGAAAGCAGGACCTTGCAAACCACAAATCGAACCCGAATCTCACCGAAGCCAAAGACAAAACCGAAACCGAATCGAACCCTCCGCTTGGGTTCATCATCGTTCAGAATAGTCTTTACTACATCTGCTGTTGCGTTAACTGCAGCAGTTACAGCCACGCTCCATGGACCCGCCGAGGCGGGCACCGTCCGCGTGGCGAGTCGCATCATGGGCCCGGGCCCCGCTCTCTTTTGGAGCTTGAGCTTGCGCCAGGCTTTGCAGCTTGCGCTTGAGGATGAGTTTTTGTTTGAAGGATCTGTGCCCAATCTGTGCCCAATGTCTGCGCTCGTCTCTGCCGCTAGGCGGCAATCTGTCAGCCTCGTAGCTGCTAACTGTTCGAAATGGACACCGTCTCGAACATGCTTCCGAGAAACATTTGGTTGACTTCAGAAACTGCTACCATGAAGGTCCAGTTCAGATCCGCTCATTGACCTTGAGCCGCAAAACGAAAGGTTTTAGCTGCCTGCGCTTCCCCAAATACTGTTTTGCAGACATCTGGCATCGGCAGAAAGCACGAACTTCTCGCGCAAAATAATGGAACATATGTGATATGAGATAGTATACTTAACATGACCGAGTATATTGTTGCATAATACAATCGAGTATGATTGTGAAGCGCGCTAACTGGACTTGCACAAAAGCGGCAATCACAGCAGCGCAACTGTTGTATGCTTCGCGAGTTCTCTGTCCCAGTCCCTAGGCACAGCCGCGTCGCGGACCGACGGCAGGCGTGCAACTCGAGAGCTACACTACCTGAAGTACTGCCGTGCACGATCACGATTGGCACACCTAGTAGCTAGAAACAAGCCATTTGAGCCAAAACGTATTGCTTTGGACAAACATTCAAATTACACAAACATGCAAACTGAACTACAGCTGGCAGAGACCTGTGCACAT